ATAAAGATATGTAAAATGTCATAAAAATCAATATTGAATCGTTTATTCGCCACTATAATGCTAAATCATAATCTTAAACCTATGAAAGAATTAATTAAATATAACTATAACATTTTATTTTATAATAACAAACCATCATGAATCTTATTCTCAATGTTCATTATTTTTACTTCTGCTTGGTTAAGAGAACATAATAGTATGAACATAATAGCATTAAGTAAAAATCATTAAATTTCATAAAATAATTTTTAATTTTTAAACTTTGAAGCTAATCTTGGGTTGTTCATGGAATATATCCCTCATATAAACGATTTATTTAATTAAGTCAACGACTCCATTCTTTGATGGCCATTTATTTCTTTCATGGAACGATTGATTCACTAACACCCAGATAAAAAGTCTTGAGTTAGCTATTTTCACTGAACTCTCCTAGCAGTTTATTTGCATTGAGGACACTTTCCGAATTCATGTTTTTTAATACTCTATGTTTTAATGAGTTTATTCCACCTGTTTTGCAAAAACGATTTGTTCCAATACTTAAAATCATGTTCGGGAGAGAATTTTATATAATTCTCCTATGCTAACTTTTTGACTATTAATTTTTAATAGATAAATAGATAATAGATAAAAAGCCAGTGATATTTAAAATTATTTCAATCAGCAAAACCGACCAACATGCGAGATGTGATTACGGTCACTTTACATTCAGTCTGTTACAGGTTCTAGATCCACTTGCATCGTTAAGACCAGCGATATCTGAGTTCTGAATTGAGTTTGTACGCACTGTCGTCATTTGCTTCGTCAAGAACAAACCAAGTATTTAAAAATGAAGTATTTGAACCATAAAAGTGATCCATTGATGTGTACATAGGTGGGAGTAGTATTTTGTTTGGTGACTACGTTAATTTCCTGCAAATATAAAAATATTTTTTTGTAAGAGAAATGATCAGCAATGGCAAAAACCTTGTAGGACTCTAAAAACTTTCCCCTATTATAACATGTAAAAATAAAAATGTAAATTATTCAATCATCTGAAATGTTGAATTAAATATTAGATTTGTGCTTCTTTTACATGAAAGTAAGAGAGTATCAAGAAGGTTGAAGGTTATGAACTTTGAATAATTTCATCTTAGTGAACTATATATGTTATAAAACAATCAGATTAATTTAAATTACGAATGACTGAATGAGTTCAGCAAAACAAATGAGAATACTATGTAGTGCTCCTATCTCAAATCAAAGTTTTATTTTCAAATAGTGTGCAATCTGAAGCATCCGATAGTCTACATCTTCAACAAACACAATAATATTAAACTCTTCACTCAAAGAATAACTTACACATATATGCTCATTTATAGCATTTTCATTACCTTAAATAAAATAAATGCTATGGTATAAGCTAGCATTTGAATGCTCTAAAAAAATCTCTAATATTATTGTAATCATTAAAGTAAAATTTATTAAATTCATGTGATTATGTATGAGGTATACATACATATATATCAGTTATATATGTTATAGTAAACTCCTGCAAGTTATTTCATTAATGAAAAAAATTATTTAACCTGAACTATTTAACATTCATTTAAAAAGTGAATTGTATAAATATAAGCTACATTACTTTTATGGAAATATAACTTTGTCCTATATATGTCATTTGTCCTATATCTTCAATAGAACAAATGATAATGCGCCAAAACAAAAAACATTAGGCAATTAAAAGGTGGACTTGTTTTCTTGATAATATATAAAAATAAAAAAATAAAAACTTAAATTATTTGAAATCAAAAGTTATATTCAATTTGTTCCTGTTTTATATAAAAGTGAGGAAGTGTCGATAAATTAAATCAAACTATAAATTTAACTAGAGATATAAAAACAAGTGATACTAAGGACGAAATAAGCCAGCACAAAATGTAGTAATATTACATTACTACTACTGCCACTGTGTGGCAGCACAGTAGGATAGACGCTGCACTGGAACTCTCATATAGGCAAGTCTGTGAGCTGCAGCTCCAGACACGATATGATATAGGTCTGTAGAGAGGAAAAAAATATGTTGAGATATACTTGGAAATGATAAATTAACTACGTATTATAGAAACAATGTAGCAGCACAGTAGGGCGGGCGTTGAGTTGGAACCCACATAGAAATCTGTGAGCTGTAGTTTCAGACAAGGTGTAACCTAGTTCTATACAGAGCAAATTAAATATATTGTAGTATATTTGAGGTACTGTGTAGCTTGAAGCACGTACCATAATCTTTCTCGCTCTTATCCTTATCTCCCAGTGGAGCATAGGGCCTCTAACGTATATGATACCATTTTGAAAAACTGTTAAGGTTATATGCTCTACTTGAAATCAAGGGTTACAGTAAATAAAGTAAGATTATTTCCAGATATTTTTTTAAAATCATGAATTTAATAAAAATAACTTTGCCTGCTTTTATGACTTTTTATTAAACTACATTTGTATCATTTGGAAATACTTTTTTTTGAACATTGTCAACATTAATAATGCTCCATTTAAACAATCAGTGCATGAAAATGGCGTATCTCTCAAGTGAATAGCGTTGAGTTTGAGATTTTTATATTTTCGCATGAGTTGTGAATGTGAATCGTATTGATTGACATTTTAGATATAATTTGCTTATACCAGAACTCGAATATCTGTAATGATTTTTGTTTAATTTTAATTCACTTGCGAGAACTTGAGCATTTTTTTATCAAGCACGAAAAACAGTTCAACATTTGCAGTAAATTTCAATTAAAATTCCATTATTACGAATTATTTAAATATTCGAGACATTTTATTTAAAATTTTGTTTGCGTAGGCAAGTGGCTTCGGTTACAATATAAATTATTCATAATTAAAATGAGTGACGAACACAGAGCAACGATGGAATTATTGAAAATTCATTATTCTCAGAATATTTTATTCGAAAATATCAACGAAGTTCCCAGCTTCATTTTGGCTGCCAAGGGCATTTATGCGATTTGAGCTGGCATTTCTGCTGCGCTTAGTGAATACTTAATTTCTGCTGTAGCATTGCTCAGTGCTCCGCCGGATGCAAAATCTTTCAAAAAGTAAAAAATTTTATACTGAAATTGAGAAATTTTCATTGGTGAATAAGTGAATCGGTGCTGAGTTGTGTTAACAGTACTTCCAAATTCTATTATTAAAAATTAAAACGTCAAAAGTAAATTTCATTAGGAAGCTGAGAAAGATACTTTTGTACCTTACACCTTGGAATTTTAAGCGGATTTAATTGATTTTGCAGACACTTTTCATACTAATTTAACAATGTTTTATGCATGCGTTTTTGTAAGCTGATTTTGTAAAACTTTCACCTCATCATAATTTCATATAAAAATTTATTTTAATGAAGTTTAGAAAGTTTTGCCAAATAACTGAATAAAGCAAATGTCAAAGGGTTACGACAAGTGTCTTCAGTACTTTGAGGTGCTAGAAAAAGTTTTTAATTAAAAGCACCTTTTTCGAAATTTTTTCGAGTTGACATATTTTCATCTTCGGGATTTGCTGTAGGATTTCGAAGTTTTTCTTCAAATTATGTCGGATTTTTTTAACAAATAAAATTTTCTACCAAAGTGTATTGAAGGAGCGTAGATCTTTTGTAAAATTTTAAGAGCCCTTTTTTTATTCTCTCAATTGTGTAAATTTCGTTTAAATATTCCATTGTCAACATTATTTTCGGTACATGCATTTGTGTATTTCATTTTGTACAATAGCCAAATTTATGAGTAAATATTTATTTGGTTTAAGCCTTTTTCTTAAGTTGCTTAATATTTAAGTACAGCAATTGAAATTTGTAAAATAATTAAAATAAAGTTCATTCATGTGAGAATGAAAAAGGTCGAGTTTACTTTAAATTCAAGAATACATTATTCTTAAAAAGAAAAGTTTTTATTTCATGCCACAATCTACAGCTTTATATAAATTTTTAAATCAAATTACCTTAAAATAAGTTTTGTGTGAAATCCGGTTTTGATCCAACACAATTTCAAGTTTTTCCTAGAATTTTATAAGTTATCGTAAATGCTTAAGGCGTATGTTTCTAATTTGGTACTTAAGGATTATCATAAACAAAAAATTATAGCAAATTATTCAACCAATCAGCGTTGTTAGAGATATCCTTCATCACAAGTAGGTATGGCTAAATAGATGACACTAACACTGGATGAAACCAGTGTTAGAAAGTCCATACATGTAACGTACGTAAAACCCGTGAGAAGCGTGTAGCTTCCAAACAACACTGGAATAAAGCTATTGTACAGGAAACATACAAATGATACAACATGCTAAGGCTAATCACAAGTAAACGAATATTTTGTAAACAATATATGAGTAAACTTAAGTTAATTAAATTTAAACATGTCAACCAGTGTGCCTTTAGGTGTAATCGGTCATATGTCAATTTCATTGACACTATTGTGCAGTGTTTAGGTAGGGCAATGAACTTAGGTCAGTCATGTAAGCTGCATTTTTCAATTTTGAAAAATCGTTTCTTTCAACGAAATGAAATGTCCCAAAAAAGTCTAAGACATACAACAATAAAGCTATATAAAAGTTTATAGCTACACACTGGCTTAAGTGTCGGAGGCTCTTAAAACGAATACAGCATACAAACAAGTTGTAATGTGAAATATGCTATCTGTTTGACTACAGAACATCAGAAGTGATGTTATCTACCCTGAGGAATTAATAAATGGATTTAACAAAATTTTAAAAACACTAAACAGCCATCACGAACATTAATCGACACCCTTAATTATT